GGCCGGAATGGTGAAGTATGGTCATATATCCCTCATGGTCCCCAAGGTGTGGTGAGGCCATCATCCAGCAGTGGATTGAAAATAAAAACGCCTTGTATATGTGTATAATTCACACCTATGTATAGCAGATGCGCTGTTTATAATTGAATTAAATATTTGTATGCGCACCCTTAAAGTCAATGCCAGTTTGTCATTTTAATATATCAAGTAAAACATATACAGTTTATTCGATGTGTATGCACTCAAGTGCTGTACACCACATTTCAATGTAATATCAGTTAAATGTAATGTAAGTACCTTACTTTGTTTTATGTAATTTACGCGACTCATAAGGTGGCCTGATGTAAATAATAGCAAATCAAAGCGACGTTTCAACCCACTGCTGGAGAAAGGCCTCTCTCCACGTCGTGCTTGTTACTGGGATTGAAGTTTTACAATACTTCACCACACTGGTAGGTGCGAGATGGTGAAGGGTGGGTGGGGATGAGGGGGGGGACATGTAGCACTCGTCACTGATGTTAAATGAGACAAGGAATCGAAATCTGGTTCGCTGTGTTGATAGCACAGTGTACAAACCACTGCGTCATCACCTTTCGTATGCAACATACCGTACACAGCGTCCTCGTCAAAATAGGCGTCTGGACATTTGAAAGGTCAGAGCAATGCATTTCGAGAAAATAAAAACCCACGCTCACCCGGACCCTGAACGGGGCACTATGAACCACACTCCTCCCTTGAACTCACACAGAGCCCTCTGCCCGTACACCCAAAGAGAATGACAGACACATCGAGTCCTGCAATCGCCCATCAGGGCTGTTCCAGATTGGTTCCGCAATTGCAGACGTAATATTGAGGTTGCTCAATATTGCAATTGAGTAATATTGAGATATTGACATTCCTCAATGTTCCAGATTGGTGTTGATTGAAATCGAGTAATATTGAGATTGAGTAATATTGAGATTCTTCAATATAGAGATTCCTAAATGTTCCAAATAGGTTCCGCAATTCCCGGTGTAATAGAGATTCCTCTCAAGTTAAGGCGAAAGTGTTTCATACATCCATACACAGTAATCGTAAGCTGTCCGTCCTACCGCGTTTTTAACGGTGTAATGCGCATATATGTCCGAGTATGCGTGTTATGTATAGGTGATCCAATCTCCGACCCCCAGGAACAGGTTTGCAGATTTGCTGAGCATTTTTGTGAGGTCCTGGGGGAGGGGAAATCCCTCAGCCAGGAAAACATCGTGGCACAAAGTGGGGATGACCCTGCTGAGGCTGCAGTGCCTCAAATATTGGAAGAAGTCACCCCCTGCGAGTGGCTGGCTGAGGTACCATCTGTTGAGGAAGTACTGAACGCGATCTGGAGTCTGAGACCAGGAAAGGCACCGGGCAGAGATGACCTCCCAAGCGAAATGCTGAGGGAGGGTGGCGTTTGTGCACAGACTGCCCTACATGACATCATAACAACAGTCTGGACCACTGGACGGGTTCCGCAGGATTAGAAGGATGCCCTGGTGACCCCCCTTTTTAAGAAGGGGGACCGCACAGACTGTAACAACTACAGGGGCATCTCACTCCTCAGTGTGCCCGGAAAGGTCCTGGCAAGGATTATTCAACATCGCCTTGCCAGGCACGCTGAGGAGAGGCTTGCGGAGCCCCAATGCGGTTTCAGGAAAGGGCGGTCCTGCACAGATGCCATATTTTCTGTCCGTCTGCTACAGCAGAGGTGTAGGGAATTCCAGCAAGACCTACATCTCTGCTTTATTGACCTGGTTAAGGCCTATGATACCATCAGTAGGCCTGGGCTCTGGGTTGTTCTTCGTGCTTTTGGAGTACCTGACCCTCTGCTCACGATCATTAAGGACCTTCATGATGGTGAGCGGGCCCGGGTAAAACTACGTGGCCGGGAGTCAGAGCCATTCCCTGTACACCTTGGGGTGCTACAGGGATGTCCTCTGGCTCCCACATTATAAAACATCTATTTTGACCACGTAGTTCGTGAAGCCTTCAATAGCTGTACCGGGGGAATCTCCATTTGGTACAGATATGATGGGAGGCTGATCGATGCCCGTGTGCGGTCAAGGGATGGCTCCCTATTGCTCAACCACGTTATGTATGCCGATGATTTGGTAATAGCTGCTCATTCAGAGGAGGAGTTGGAAATGCTGCTGCTGAGACTGGAGCATGCCACTAAGAGATGGGGCCTTACCATCAGCCCCACCAAAACTAAGCACCTACCTGGGTATTTTGTACCATCGGACACTCCACCCACACAACTCCCAATCGGTGATGGGGCAGTTGTGGAGAGAGTGGAGCGTTTCCCATACCTGGGCAGTGTGCTTATGACCGGCTCCAGTTTAACAGCAGAGGTCTCACTCCGAATCAGTCGAGCGGCAATACCTTTTCATCGGTTACGTAACGCTGTGTGGAAGCTACCTGGTCTGTCGCTCCGCACTAAGCTTCAGGTCTTCTCGGCCACGGTCATTCCCTCCCTTCTCTACGCTTGCGAAACGTGGACCCCCCAAATGGAACATCTTCGCCGGTTAGAAACATTTAGGCTAGCCTGCCTACGATCCATCCTGGGTTTAACCAGGCTGGATTGTGTGAGGAGCTCACAAATCTTTGAAAGATCTGGGCAAGGTCCCATCGGTGAGCTCCTCCGGCAGGCAAAGCTGCGTTGGCTGGGTCATGTAGCCCGCATGCCCAGCCACCGCATGCCTAAACAGCTTTTGTTCGGCCGGATCGAGGGGGCTAAACGGGCGCGGCACGGGCTAGAGAAGAGATGGAGTGATGTGTTACAGGAGGATGTGGAGCTGAGTGGACTTGCCGATGACTGGTACCAGCGGTGTCAAGATCGGCCTCTGTGGAGGCAGTCGCCCTCCAACAACAACGGAGGGCGGAGGAGCGACGCTCACAACAACGAGCGGAGCGCCGGGTGGCTAAAGCACAGCAGATTGGCACAGTAGGGGGCACAGGTGATGTATCAGCCAGTCATCTCAGTCAGTCGACCAGTGGCACCTGGGTCTGCCCCGTGACCTCCTGCCAGCGGGCGTTCGACACTTGACGTGGCCTCAAGGTGCACATGGCCTGGCATAAGCGTCGTCGTGGTGACGTCACCGCCACTTAGTGGCGAATGGCGGTTGTTGTTGTATAGGTGCTCGCTAACAGCACTTGCCCCAACAGTCTGTTCAATCTATACGGAGGATTTTTGTCTTTGTATGTGTGCACGCGTGTTATGGTCGACTCAGCCTCAAATGAATATCTAGTGCGGTGTGTAAACATCGCCACTGTGGAGAAAAAGGCGGCCGGGCGTGGTGCTGGCCACCCACCCCTTCATGGCGTTGTGCAGACCTTCATAGGCGCTCGCTATCAGCACTTGCCCCAACAGTTTGTTCCCCCTATACGGGGGATATTTGTCTTTGGAGTTCAAATGGAAACTTAATTTTGCTTGAGGGCGGTGCGGAAGGGGGTGCGAGGTGGGGGGGGGGGCTTAACTATGAAATGTCACTGGTATTTTTTCGTGACTTTAACGTGCACACGCAGTCCACGCGAAAGAGCGATGCTGCTGCGGGTGCGCGCTCACAAGCCCAAGCACCCACTCCCTAGGGGTAACGAGTAAAATGAACGCGTTATTTACGCCACACGAATCCGCAGGGGCGTCCCTCTGGAAATCAAGAGGGTTTTTAATGTATCACCGCTTTTGGCATTGGCACAAGTGTCGTCTGTGCCGCGTCGCGATACAACAACCAACAGCTCGGCCCAACCACCAACTCCAACTTCCATCGCTTCTTCACTCACCGCCCGCCCCGTCCAGGCGTTGCCAAGCTTGATAGGACGGCTAAAGTAAGAATCAGAATATTTATTTAGACTGCCGGAGGAATCCGATTATAGCTATGAAGCTCTTTTTTCACAGATGTCCAGGAGAGGCAGATCAGAAGGTCGTGACAATGATTACGAGACAATGTACCAACTATTAAACAAAGTTCACGTAACACGTGGACTTGCGCGACCAGTATTATTCATAATAAAGGTTTTTGGGTTAGTCTAAATGTGTCGCAACCCTCCACTACCCGACACGGCCAATCAGTAAAAAAATGTGTCACGTTAACAAAACTCCAATAAGTTACTTCTTCAGCCCACCGGTGTGTTTGAAGAGTGAATTCACAACATTTATAATTATAAATGTAGCGATCTAACCCAAAAACCTTGATTATGAAAGTACACGTAGCTTGTTACGTGATTCTTCATACTCACCTGGAATCGTATCATTAAAAATAATAAACATGCAGATTTTTTATCACATCCTTATCACATACCTTTAGCACGGTTGGCTACTGTACGTACGGTGCGAAATAAATTTAATATATAATATCTGCAATTGTGACAATATACACATTGCCAAGTACTGTATTAAACATAGTAAGTGATGAAGCATCCTTAATACAATCATAGAACCGCTCCTAAAGCTACATAATGTGTTATGTTGCACTTCTTTTGCACTTTACGTAGCCAAACGCGCGAGTCGGAGGTGCGGGAAATGCCCTTGTCCCAGAAATCCGCTTACTTTGCAAACTTACTTAACAATGTCCATAACTTTTTCCCCCGGCGCCTCTTGCTCTTATATTACATGCGCATTGTTTATTTATACCTATGTTACGTTAAATACCTCGTTTGTTAATTGTACGATATTCTAGAGGGACCCTGTACTCGTGTTCTGCAATATTGATGTATTTTGCCTTTGTTTTGTTATTTCTGTGCTCACGCACCACGCGTCTACTTTGTAAAACACCATGGTAACTGTCTCAACGGGATCATCCCTGCAACAAATAGAACACACATAAACGTAGTGGCTTTAGTAGAATGTTGTTACGCAGGGAACCGAATGAATCGCCGGATATAGCGACAGAATCGTTACGATGGCAACACTGCGCCCTCCCCGAACCGCACCAAACCCCTCCACTCCGCTCAACTTCACATCGCCGCCCTCCAGGTCCCCGTACCTTTAATTAGCGGCGCCAGCCACATCAGCGTCAGCGCGGCCACCACCGCGACCTGAGCCCTGCAGCGGAGCGCGCCGTGTCCCATCGTCGCAAGGAAGAGCGCGGGGGAGAGCGAGGAGCTCTCAGCGAGCGAGGAGTTCTCAGCGAGCGAGGAGCTCTCAGCGAGCGAGGAGCTCTCAGCGAGCGAGGAGCGAAGTTGCTCCCGAGGGCGGGCAGCGGTGGGAGCAGTGACCGGAGCGGACAAAAAGAGCAATTGAGAGCTGGGTGGGAGGTGGGGGGGGGTGCAAGAGATGTGGGTAGGTGGGTGGGATCAAGATGAACACGGGGCCGTGCTCAGCTCCGAGGTGGAGGAGGAGAAGAAGAAGATGACACAGCGCAAGCCGACAGGGCGGGCTGCATTCCTGAGCGCAGCTGCGACCGCGCCGCGCAACTCAAGCGCTGGGTCCGGGATATTGATTTGGGGTATGGAGCAACTCGTTCTGGGGATTAAGTGGCCTGCACGCCCTGTCTCTGGCGGCCCCATTGACGCGGTTTCACGCTCCGTACTCAGACGCGCACGCTGAGCTGCGTGGTCGATTGATGCGAGGCGTCCCGGCCGTCGGAGTGGTGGCGAAGCTATCGAGAGTGCATGCGATGCAACAGCACCAGAGCGACACAGCAGGCGCCTGGCTACAAAGATGTGGTGGTGGGGTGGGGATTGGACATGAGGCTCTATTCCATTATTTGCACCAGGGTCCATTGCCAGCGACGCTTCATCACTGCCGTCGTTTCTGCAGGGCTGGGTGTATCACGGTGAACCACTTCCGCGGCCGTCTGGAACGCTCTGCCTTCCGATATTAGGAAGCTGCTGGAGATATGTCCTTTTAAATCTAGATTGAAAACTAATTTCTTTATAACTAATGTTTGTGTTTAGTTTGCTGTCCTTCCCCCACACCTCCGATTAGCACGGCTGGCTACGTACGGTACGAAAGAAGTTTTAACATACATCCACCACGGTGCGGGCCTTCCGTGTTTACCCAACATCTGGGTTGCGCAATGTATACGCACTTTGCGTTTGTATTTAAACGGAGACAATAATGCGATTAAACTCGCAATATAAATAATGGTTTGGGTGTAGCGGTGGATGAGTAGTTACTGCACTTTGAACTCGGTGAGCAGATTTCGATTTCCAGGCACGGCCAATAATACCCTTGACTAGTGCTATCTGGTTCGGCAAAATACCCACGGCTCCGTCACCAACCCGCACTGACCGGTGTGGTGAATTAGAGGATATACACATCTAAGAATCCCAAGACACTTTTGTGGTTAAGGGTTTCAACACAAATATCACATTGGAACTTGAGCGCCTCATAAATCATCAATCTCAGGGTGAAGGTTTGTAAACGCGAAAAAAATCTAACGCGGTCATTCGCAAGGGGTGAGGCTGGAGCAGCCTTTTTTTTCTAAACGATGTATGGTTCTGGCACACAGATCGAGTTTGGGTTGCTATCCCTCCTCTAAGATGATAAGATCGCATTTCACGGAGCACATTCCCACGAGCAAATATCGTATATACCGCAGAGACGTTTAGCATCGTTTCGCTATTAAATTGAAATAAGGAGCGCACGTGCGTTCGTACAAAGTCACTTCATGGCACAGCAAATGCGGTGGCTCAGTCGGAGATGAGATACGCCCTTGCCCAGGCCTCCCGGCTTCATTGGCGCTGTAATGAAAACACCTGGGTGGTGTGTCGTGGAGCGATCCATGGCAACGATGGCTGCGTTAGAGACCCTATTACCCAGCGTTGAGGAATCTCTTCTTACAGATGGCCGAAGATGACTTTCACATTCCTTCAGAGGGACAACCCACCACAGACTCCATTCGACCCCTAAGTGGCGGTGACGTCACCACGCTGCTGGTGCCAGGCCAGGTGCACATTGAGGCCACTTGAAGTGTCGGAGTCTCGCTGACAGAAGGTCACGGGACAGACCCAGGTGCCATAGGTTGACTGACTGAGATGACTTGCAGATGCACCAGCTGTGCTCCCTACAGTGCCAACTTGCTCTATTTTATCCGCCCGGTGCTCCGCTCGTTGTTGTGAGCATCGCTCCTCTGACCACCGTTTTGGTTGAAAGGCGACTGCCTCCAACTGCCCAGTAGCGTCCTTCGCGAGTCTTCGGAGGGTCACACATTAACGCACACACACCTTAGCTTCATCACACAACAACGCGAATATATAATTAGAGCGTTAGATTTTTTTCGAACTTAGAGAGTTGCCAATTTAGAATGTCTGTTGTGTCCCTCTCATAGTGCGATGAATATGCTGGCAGTGATGGATACATATCGTTAACGGGCCGTTTCGAAGTGGTAGACCTCATGTAAAATGAGACGATGCTGGTCTCTCGAGCTCTTATCTGGTTAAACAAAATCAACTTGAACTTTGTGTGGACACCGCCCGTATAAAATGACGTCGCAGGGCGTGTCGGATCTTCGTGCTATAGGTTTCTCCATCGCTGTAACAACTCTAGCAGCAGCAGCAGCTCAAACCCACATCCTAGCACGAGCCTCACAGATACGTGCTGAGTGTGTCTTGAGATGCAGTTGCATGTATACGCTAAATACCCTAAGTGCAAGAAGTATTGTATTGTACAGAGTGTCCATAAATGTTTCATCCATTAATATAGAATTATAATTGGACAACAAATTGACCTATGTCATTCAAACAACGCACAGGCACACACACAGTAAAAAAAAATGTACCATGAGTATTATGCCAGTAACCAACGTTGTACCAACATTTGCATGTAGTTGGAACGTTTGGCCCAACGTTGGCCCAACGTTCTGTGTTTTCTGGAAAGCGCTCTAAACCTCCACTTGTCTGCCGTGACTTGACGACCCACATCGCGTCGAGATCCGAGAGAGTCCCACATGCTCGCCAATATTTGTAGCGTGATTAGTTCAAATGCTCCTCTTATGTGTTGTTTAAAGATCACTCAATCTTTACGCGGTTAAAAAAGAAAAGCATTTCAACCACGCAGTTCAAACGTCTGTCTCATTATATAAATAACCTTTAGTGATGGATGATACCTTCATTGACACGCTGAATGATGCGTCGTGTGCCCTCCAGTTGCACCGACTGTGCGGTCGAATTTGTCCGTGTTCATGAGCCAGTAACTGGGGGCATGCGTTTACATAACGTTCAATTTTTCACAGGATGACTTTTCCCGTATGGATCACACGCTCCAAGAGTAATTATGAACCTTTGCTCAATATTGCGCACAAATGGTGCGTCAATAATGTGCTATGAAGAAGGGCCATTGGCAGAAATATCGCCGAATATATAGTTTTCTTTTTAAGGCAGTATTATTGACAAATGTGTTAGGAAGGAGGAGGCATTGTCTAGCATTGGAAGGTTACAGGCTGGGTAGACAGAGGCGAACGATGTAAGAAACATGCATAACATTTCAACTGCAGCGCCAAAAGATCGAACTGGCGACCGGATTACACAAATCCCCGTGTTTAAATCATAGCACCACGGAAATGTAGCTATTTATTTTCGCTCTGAGTGTGAGAAGGACGGCTACGTTGTTTGAGTGCGAAATACACAAAAAGAGCTTGGTAACCGATTGATTGTTAGTCGTAATCTTAAACTTCGCCTTCATGTCGTAATTATTCAACCGAATGAATGTAACGCATTCATTTTTGCCATTATATCAGATCGAATAAAAATGTATGAAACTTGGGCCTGCATAAATATTTCCCCCTGTATAGGTCCAATAAGTCACGCACGGATATGGCCATACATGGCCATCAACGCAGGACCCTCCTGAAAATGTCTTGATACTCGGTGAGGCTTTCCTGTACAAAGGGTTGCAACGTAAATGCACGTCTATCTTCGTGCCAAAAGTCGTTGTCCTTGCAAGCATACAAGCATCATCGGGCACGTTTATTGTTGTGGCCCTGACATGAGTGAGTGGTGGTAATTCCACGTTTCAGTGGCAAGAGCCACTACAGTTTAATATATCCATATATCAACGACACGTGATTGGTTCGTAACGTTAACAACTATATATTTTACTCTTACAGAATAGGAATTGTAGAGGGTTCGTGTTCACTGTGAAGCGGCCTAGTGATTCCCGTTGACATTTGTGCATCACTGGTTTGTAGTCGCGACTGAAGAGCAGATCATTGGCGGATGACAAAAGATGGAGATTATCGATGATTTCGGTAAAGTCACGTAGATAGGTTCAAATAAAATAACAAAAAAAATTACCTATCTACGTGACTTTACCGAAAGACCCAAAGAATATTAATTCCTGCAGTCGCGAAAGCTTTAAGTGAATAATTACCGATGCTTACAATGATGTATAACGCAATGTGCTATAAAAGCGGTTTTTATTACTGAAAAAAACGCCTATCACATTAGAGCTTCCGTGTTATTAGCTCTTTTATATATTATAATCCGGCTGATTGGCATGCACATCAGTGGCGCAGTGGTTAGCTATGAACTCGGTACCTCGCTCGATTCCTGAGCATCAGTGTCGAGTTATATCTGAATGGGCCCTGGGCAGCCCCCCCCCCTCCCCCCACTTCATCAATCCACACTGACGAACGTGGTGAAGTATGGTTAAACAACCCCCATGACAGATACGACATGGGGAGGCCACGTCGTATCAGCACGTCCAATAGTAGATCGACAAAGGTCTGTGCATTATTATTTTATGAATGCTCATACAATAATAATATTTTTTTTATGAATGCTCATACAACAATAATAATAATAACAACAACGGTGCACGGCTGTGTTTAAGCGATGGAAAAGTGTCACGGTGGGTTGTGAATCTCAATGAGCGACCAACTGTTGCCACCAACTGTTGCGACTCGCACGAAGACGTTGTTGAAGGAGCCGATGCCGATCAGTGGTCATATAAATGCGCGTATTGAAATTCACAGGGAGATGGTGGCAATTGATGAAAATGCTCAAATAGATAATATCGCGTGCATTCACAGAATGTAAATTTTCAAACATCCACGCAAATAATGAAGAACATACTGGCACGTAAAAATGACTTCAACCTTTCACGGCAAAGCAGTGAAATGTTCTCCATGCATTCTTCCCCTGCCGAATTTGCTTATCACATTGCAATTTCCGTTCATTTTTGTTTGGGTGCCTCAAAAAGTAATTTTGCAGCGTTTCGTTTCAAAGCGATTCTGATGCGACCATCACACGTCCCATCGTAATTACACTGCCGTCCTCAAATCAACCTCTCCGGGAAATGGGACATTGTGACATGGATTAAGGGAGCACACGACTGCTGTGGTCGCGCTCCTCTAGAAGAAACAGAGCAGGGTTACAACTTATCGCTTTCTTCGAAACCACATGTTTTTTTTTATTTCAGAGGGAAAATTACCCTTTTGAATGACCATATATCTACATTGATCAATATGCGCATGACTACTTTGGAGAGTGCTAAACACACACGCGGAACAGCGCATTGTTGGGGTACGAAGGCTTCGCCTGCACTCTGTTTCACGTACGCTTTAAATGTATTTAAGGTTTTTAAAATATATTTTGCCACTCATCAAAAAGTGAACGTGCTGAGAAGAAAACATCGCTACAAGTGATGATGGGCGATTGACAAGATTTGCAGTGGAATGCCAGCTAAGGGGAATGAGAGCACGTGGCAGAGAGGATGATGATGACCGCTACTCGTGGCCAGATCAGTTTAATGCACGAGCGCGATGAATTGTGGCGTCACTGGACCACGAGGGATTGCGACGGCCTAGCGAGGCCTACATCTAGCAGTGGGCAGACAATGGATTATGATGATACTGGAACTTCTCGTTCACGATGGGCTCGCTTCTACTGTCGGTGAGGCGCGCGCATGGATAATGTCTGTCTCTGCACAGACTGGCTTCAGGAGCACTGGCAGAGTTGGGGGTGAAGCGTTTATCTCTGGCACCGCATGTACTGATGTGTGTGTGTGTGGGGGGGGGAGACAATCCGTGAAACAGCCCTGATTTCTGCGGCAAAACAGAACGTGTGAATTGCGTTACCAGCTTGGGCTAGAAATAGGATTATTGCCATGTGTAAAGACCCAACAATGAACGCTGATGAGTGGCACATTTAAGAACGATCACTCGTGTGTTGTTATTGTTGACATTACACTGATACTGTCGACATGAGTGTTCCGTATATGGCGTTAACGCGTGGAGAATATTTATTTCCGCGAGGCCAGTAAAAGTATCCAACTCGCACGTATATAACGAACAAGGGTGGCATGGAGTCGTCTTTAATCAGTAAAGGATTAGGGGGAGGGGTAACCCCAGTTTGACAAACAATAATTCATTTTTTTCTCGACAGGTGGCCGTAAATACACGTTCAGCAAAATGTACACAATTTTTAAATCAATGTTAAGCAAACGTTTGGAGAAAACGTTTACATAACATCAGAATAAAATCACGGTGTGCTGTTAGGAATGTTCAACATTAATTCGAGTAGGTCTATAGATGCATACACACACGTGTCCCTGTGCGATATTAACCTCCATAGCACATCCATACACAAGACATTCACAAACTCAAGCGAGGGATTAATGAGCCCCCACAACCAACATACGACGGGACACTTTGCACACACACGCACACACCACCATCATCATCATCATGTTTGTACACTCTACATGTGGCCAGGCTACGTAGCGTAAGAGTCAGCCAGACGGGTAGTAGGGCGAGTCGCTGTGGTAGTTGTAGTCCGGGCACACCTTCTGCACGAGTCTGTAGTCCGTGCTGAAGAAAGCGATGTAGATGCAGATGACGCTGAAGGGCTTTGCGCACAGCCACGACACGTGGCTCTGCGTCTGCTCCTGGTAGCAGACGCGAGACGGGTCGTAGATGCATAGCACCGTCTTCGTGGACTTCTCCGTCTTCTCGTACTCCACGTGGCAATTGAACTTGGTCTCCTTGGGGTTCACGAGAGCGGCCGACTGCGCCGGGGACGGCTCGAAGTCCACGGACTTGGAGGGCGGCACCAGGCTCAGAGACACGTTGCCCTGGCCGGTCGAGTTGTGCCGAAAGTAGACGCTGAACGTGCCGTTGCCGTGGTCCACGATCTTGCCCGTGATGAGCAGGTTGAGCTTCACCGTCTTGATGTTGGAGTTGAAGTCTCCCCAGCCGAACATCTTCTTGAACTTGCCCGACTTGACGATGGGCCGCCGCTTGGTCCGGGAGAGCGTCTCCGACCTGCCGGTCCGCCAGCTGGACTGCGGCGGCCACGACCAGCTGTCTCGCGCGACGCCCGCGTGCGCGCGTGCGTCGTTGACCCTTTCATCCTCCGCGGAGCTGTCCTCAGTGTCCCGGCGCTCCTCTCTGTTGTCGGGACTCGGCGGGCCCTCCAGCTCTTGCAAATTGCTCGCAGTTCTGTGCGGCGCGCCCGTAATCCAGTCTTTGATGTCGCCGCTTACGTGATTGCTTTCCACCGTGTTGCACATCTCAGTGCTTCGCTCCTCGACATCCGTTGCCTTGAGTGACAACACAGGGACATATTATATTTTGCGTTTTGATTAATCGAATTGTTTCCCCCCCGTTAATCACTCTATAGGTCAGTGCACGCGGTCGCACGATAGCACGCATTTTTATAGATTATCGGGTGGCACGTGTCTACGTAATGTGAGTGCATACACAAATCATCGCCATCATCATTACCCCCCCCCCTCCCCCCCCTTACATCAGCTCATTAGCGACCAATTTCTTACACGGCTCCCTTTCTGTAGCAGTTATGACGGCTTCACTCAATCTCAATAATGCTTTCTTCAAGCCGCGGCGGCATCCGTCAACATGATTTGCTGTTTGCCTCCTTTACTCTCGTTTTCCTGTACGCGCGCGTACATATACGCGTACATGTACGCGTGTTGAACTTCTTTAGCCACCGTACGTAGCCAACCGTGCTAATCGGACGGACGTAGAGGCTGTCACGTGCGCAAAGCAGACGCCAGAAGCAAATGACTACATTAAGTTATCGCAGTTTGGCAGTGCTACACTTAACGCGATTGCGCGTTGGGGGAAAAGGTTGTCGATTCTTCAAGAAGACGGTGATACATTGCCGTAGATATTACAGCCTCTTAATTGTCAAACGTACGCCGAGCGTGCAACAACTGCTCATTACTGCATCAAATCAACCGTGTTCTCCAAGAGTTGGGTGTTTATTGCTGTTTATTACACACCATAGAACCTTCAAACTATTTAGCGGATCACTGACTTAATTAAAACGGTGTCTGAAGACCCCTTGCAATGAATAGGCGCTTCAGCCACAATTATTCACGCTATTAATCTCGGAATTCAGGAGAGTACAATTTATTTAGGGGCGGCGGAGCTTAAATGTGGACTCTTAAATTAACAATTCATTATAGCAGGGATTAATATTGCGCACGTACATCAAATCATCAATGCGCACGAATTTCAAGCGTATCGTCCCATTTCCTTCCATAAATGTTAGTCGTAAATCCGTTCAGAACATTTAACCCGATGCGTAGTCAAACGTCTGTGGAACAACGGGGTCAGACATTATCACTCGGTCCCCTTACGCCTTACAAACAGCACCAGGCTGCTGTGACACACACACAGGGTTGAACTCCCCCCCCCCATACAACGCTGCTTTCACTCACCAGAATACCTCCACTTAAATGCATGGATGGGTTGCGTTTGCACCGTCTCTCATTAATGACGCATTGAATAGAAACAGAGCACATGTCACTAATCGTGACTTCTAAAACCATGAACAATTTCCAGCGATAGGCGTTGGCAGCGGTGTGGAATCGCGGACGGAATTTTGTGTCGCCCTCCTAGCCCCAACTCCACGGCACATTGACTTTCTGTGAAAGGGCCCGTCCCTCGAAACGTCACTCGTTTTGCGTTTACGCGTCAGCCGCGATGCCCGGCTCGCTAGCGCCTGGCCCTGACGACTCTCTCTCTCGCGCGCTCTCTCTCTCTCTCTCACCTTAAGACAGTGGCCCCCGTGCACAAGGACGATCGCAGCCCAGATCAGCATGGTCCCGGTCCGCTTCGCTGGGGCCACACATGCGGCCACGCAGAGCGCCCGACTCCACAACAGTGGCAACTGGCCGAGCCTCCCCCCTCCACTCTCATCCAATCACACCCCCCCCCCCACCAGCACCCCCAACCCCCACCACCAACCACCCCTCTCTCTTCCCCTACAGCACTAACGCGTCCCCCCACCCGTTTAAGTCTATTGCACGCAGTGCTCTGCAATGGCGACAAAGCGACGCATATCACCCACTGACATTCACGTTTCTATTAAATCCACCTTTAAAAGTCGCCCCCCCTCCCCCTCCTCCTCCTCACCCGCCTTCTCGCAGGCACCGCGCTGAACGGAGCGGAGATGAGGGAGGAGGAGCGAAGAGGGAAGGGGACCCCTTAGTGGAGGAGCGAGGACACTGATCGCAGATCGAGCACTTGGGTGGAAGAACAAGGATTGCAGGTGGACCAAGCGAGGGCCCCGGGTGGAGGAGGTGACAAGGACCAAAGTTGCAGGAGCCAGGACTCGCCGCGGTGGAGGAACGAGACAGGACCAGGGTGAAGTAGGAGCCAGCAGGTCTCTCGTATAGGAGCGGATGATCAAGTCGGAGGCCGAGGAAGGATCCAGGTGCAGGATTGGGAACTCGGATAAAAGATCAAGGACGCGTGTTGGAAGAGCGATGCCCCCGCCGGTGGAGGAGCGAGAGGAGTAGGAGGGTAGGCGGTGGAGGAGCGGGGAGGATCTGACAAAGCGCGTGGTGCCTCCTCTCTCCCCGAGCTCAGAGCGTTCTCTGAGCTGCGCGCTCCTGCACGCCCCCTTCCACGTGCCCGTTACCCTTCCTTTAACCGCCCCGATGCGCCCACCCACGCGTGACGCGTAGAGAGAGGTGCTGGGTGTATGTGTGTTTGTCACTGGGGAAGACCTGCAACACACACACACAAAGCCCGCTCCGCCCAGATGCATCTCACACCTCGTGACGTCGGGCGAGATGTGAATCTCCTGTGCCAAGAGCAGTCATTGCCGCTGATTTAATAAGATTTTTTTTACACACTTACACGCACGTGCCGTCACATACGGACGCAATCAAGGCCACTGGGGTATCAGGTGTGTGTCTGACTGTGGCGTTGACAATGTGTGAGATACCCGCGTAAAATCATCATTACTATTAACAATTGTGAATAATATTTATCCCTTTGTCAATTCGCTTATGGGTGAATGTCTCCCCACGCTGAGGTGGTCATGTCGGGAACGGGGCGTCCAGGACCTGTTCCGTTGTCACTTGCCACTGATGTTAGCCATGGCCGGGAATTGAACTTAGGTGGCCGGATTCATAGCGCAGCGTGATAATCACGTTCGACCGCTCTTCCACCAACTATGACATAATTTTGCATTATTATTAATTTTTACGTCATTTTTCGGGTTCCCATTTTAGTTAGGGTCAAGTGAGCCCAACATACATCCTAGGTCAGTAAATCCAGTACTCCACCTGTCTCCTTGAGTAGCAACACCTCCGATCAGCACGGTTGGCTACGTACGGTAAGAAAGAAGTTCGATGTACATACATACAACACTGGATGGTAAGTTAACAGTGTTTGTACAATGGACACTGGTCCCAGAAATGTGGAATTTGCATCTCGTGGAAGATGCACACCGCCCGACGATTTACATTTTCCTTCCCCTGCACCTCCGATTCGCATGGTTGGATGTGTACGGTGCGAAAGAAGTTCAACTTGCATACATAAACACGGACACACTCGACAGTCGACACTTCTAGGTGACGCGCGTTTCGTGCACTTCGGTATGAACCCGAATCCCGCCACGGCTAATATCAGTGGCGAATGATATCTGAAACTGCAACAAGGCACTCCATCATATCAACCCACAATGACCAGCGTGGAAAAGTATGGTCAGGTATACCCCCATGACCGATACGGTGTGGGGAGGCCTTAATTCAGCAGTGGATTGACAAAGAGTAAGTTACTTATTCATGTTTTTACTATACACTTTCTCATATCAGCAATATTTCGTAAGGACTCTACTCGTTCTGTGCAACATTGATGTTTTTGCCTTTTGGTTTTGTTGCTGTTGTGT